GCTGGAATTGTCTCCTCATGGACATGGTCGGCTACACTTCTAACCAGTTCGACTTTCGCATATTCGTATGGCGTCTGCGGACCCATGTGGTACGGCGCCATCGGCACGCTGCAGATCCTCCTCTTCGCCTTGATCGCCGTCAAGATCAAAGCAAATGCACCGGGCGCACACACCATGCCAGAGATCGTCCTCTCCCGGCACGGCAAGATCGCCCATCTCACCTACTTGTACAATGGTTTGGCTACGAATATGCTTGTTAGCGCCTGTTTGGTGCTAGGTGGCGCGCAGGTGGTGGCAGCAATCACGGGAATGAATGTTTATGCTGCCAATTTCCTAATTCCTGCTGTTGTTGCGGCGTATGTTATTGTCGGTGGATTGCGGGCAACTTTCATCGCGGATTATACTCATACCGTTATTCTATTCATTGCGATACTGGTATTCGGCTTCTCAGTGTCGGCTACTAGTGATCTCATTGGAAGCCCGGGCAAGTTGTACGATTTGCTGCAGGAGGCATCGCGAGATATGCCAATCGATCGTAATACTGATGGATCATATCTTGCATTTCGGTCCGTGGGTGGTTTAATCTTTGCGGTAGATATATTTGTTTCTGGGTTCAGTACTGTCTGGCTTGATCAAGCTTACTGGCAGCGAGCTATTGCGTCGCGACCGGAGTCATCTGTGAAGGCATATATGCTAGGAGGCGTTGCCTGGTATGGTGAGTCTCTGGAACTCCAAAGACCACATATCTTTCCAAAAGATACTGATAAACCTAGGCATTCCGTTCGGTTTTGCAACAGCGATGGGCCTCGGTTGTGCGGCCCTAACCAGCAATCCAGCGTTCCCAACATACCCCAACCCGTTAACGGCTTCGCAAGTCGACGCCGGACTCTCGGCTCCAGCAACCGCAATCACCCTTCTCGGAAAGGGCGGCGCAGTGCTCATGCTCATACTACTGTTCATGGCCGTGACTAGTTCCACATCCGCTGAACTCATCGCTGTCTCCTCCTTACTAACCTTCGACGTGTACAAAACCTACATCCGCCCGAACACCGACTCTGCGACACTCGTGCGTGTCAGCCACTGGGGCATTGTCATCTACGCCATTGTCCTGGCCGCATTCTGCTGCATTCTCAATGCCGCAGGCGTCAGTCTCACCTGGCTCCTTACAGTACTGGGAGTGATTGTCGGCGGAGCAGCTATTCCCGTTGGACTCATTCTGCTCTGGGACCGCATGTCCACTGTTGCGGCTATCGCAGCCCCCTGGATCGGATTTGGCTTAGGTATCATTGTCTGGTTTATCACTTCGTGGAAACGATCAGGCGGGATCAGCGTTGCGACTACTGGCGATGCTACAAATGCCGTAGCTGGAAACTTGGCCTCGTTTGGGGTGGGGACCATTTCCGCTGTGCTTTTGAGTTTACTATTTCCGGGGAAACGTGGCCACGACACGTCGGCAACGAATAGCATTACTGGAGTCCCTGTCGAACCAGAGAAGACCTCAACCGAGACATCAGCAAAGAAGAATAACGATACCGAAATTATCACGACGACTGCAACACCAAGTGAATCGACCACGCAACCGAAGAACGATATAATTGAGTATCTCGAAACTGAGACCATAGAGCCTATGGACCCTGCTCTGGTTAAGAAAGCCGAGCGATTTGCCTGGACAGCAAATCTCATCTTCATTGCGATTGCCGTGATCCTCGTTCCTTTCACTCTCTTCGGGACAAGGTATGTGTACAATAGGGAGTTTTTCACGGGGTGGGTTGTTGTCTCCTTTATCTGGGTTTGGGCGAGTGTGCTCATTTGTGTGATATATCCGGTGGTAAGTTATATCTCTAATGCCATTATGTGAAATGCAAGAAAGCCTTGTTTACTGACAGACGCGGTGCAGGTTGAAAGTGCAGGTGCTTTGCGGGATATTTCGAGAGGGATATGGAGTGATATCAGGGCGATTTGGGGACGTAGGAAGGAGCGATTGCGAACTGGACAGCCAGTATGAAGATTAAATGAACATTGTAGATGTAATTGTCTAGCCTCTCAGAACGGAGATGAAAAAGAGCCTGTTCTACAGGCTGTTCCTGAACTCCATAATTCGTTATTCCTCATTTATGAGACATTAGTATATATTAACTTGAAGATATCGTTACCCAAACCAAAGTAAATGAATCTTTCACTCCAGACACCAAGCAGAGAGCTTCAACGCCTCAATCCCGAACTGCGCGTACCCGCCTGACCTTGAGGAGTCTATCGTATTCCCACTCAACCCACGCACCAATGCCCACACTCGCCCACTCGACCAACCGCGCGAACGAAACTGCATCATTGTCCTTGCGATATCCCTCCCGACGATATGCCCTCGCAAAGTTAAGCCACACCAGCGTCTCCGACCCAGGAACCACCGACCACCCCAAAGGCCTCTGCACCCGGGGTAGCACACTTAGACGCCCTTCATCATCCTCCGAGACATCTTCAACCACCAAAACCTCCTCGAAATTTTGGTACTCTATCATATCGAAAACCGACGTAATGACATTCTTCTCACGCTCCAGTAGAGACCGGGGAAAGGCGAGGCGAGGGAGCGCAGGCGGGCTGGTCTTGTAATTCATGCCTTCATATTCAGGGGCAAAAGCCACATTTGAGCCTTCGGAAAGAAACTCTAGGTACCGAGAGTCCGGCACGTATAGGGCATCTGAAGCCGGCTGAAAGGGTCGCGTGAAGTGGAAGCCATCGGGGGTCCAGTGGAAGAGGAGAGTCCCTGCTTGCTGACGAAGCCAGTTTTGCGCTACGGAATGCGCCTCGTGATTGACTAGGAAGGGAGGCACGTCTACTTTCATAGTGGTGAGGCATGAAAGATTGAAGCTGAGGTGGAATTCATCCTTAGATACACTGTGGGCCTCCCAGCACCCCCTTTGGTAGATGTATAGGCCTTGGTGGATGGGGGTGGGGAGGGAGTGTTGCCAGATGGAGAGGCGGAGTTCCGGGGGGAGAAGGCTGAAGTTGGGGAACTTGGCGGATGTAGTTGGAGATTCTGGACTAAGCATGGCGAAGAGGTGGTGATGGGAGGTGAACTTAATGGAGGAGGAAGAGGGTGGTTGAGCACGAGTGGAGGTGAAAGGGTTATGGCTGCCCTGAATGAGATGTGGTCATATCGAAGACGCTGATTGTGTTGGATTTATTAAAATCTCACCACCGGGCAAGCTTTTCCGTGGACAGGGATGAGCAGAGCCCCTGCACGGTCAAAGGTTGACCTGATAGGTCATATTTCGAATGATACCAGTCCAGTGTGGGATCATCTTCTTTGCTTATTCGACATCTGCACGTGGTCTATAATTAACCTTCCTGATGTTGTCTTTAGTAGATCCGATCACAGTGTGGAGCACAGGGCTCCCCATCCTCTCAGCCGTACTCTAGCCAACAGAATCCGCACAGTTAATAATCGAAGAGCTCTTGACTCGACCTTTTTCCTAAACTATATTAAGGGTCTTATTAGAGTTTATTATGGGGAACAATCTGCTATATACATTTCTCATAGGTTACCAACATCGCTGGTGATCGTCAATGGTCGCTAGTAGTCAATGGTCGCCAGTAGTAGTTCAATGGTCGCTAGTAGTAGCCGCCAATGGTTTCCGGTAGTCGTCAGCGGTCGCCGAATACTAGAACCGGAAAGATTTATGAAGCTGAGCTGGGGCTTTTTTGAGCTGTCTCAGAGGTTGTCGATAAATAGGCGGAGGATCTTGCAATTTAATCATGATTTCTGAATTTGTTTGCATCCAGCTTTGCCAAAACTCTGCATCTTAGTCGAACCACGTGTTATCGTATGACCCCGATCCCAGACAAATTTCAAAACTATCGAGACACTCCGTCCTTTGGCAGTCTCCAGTGGTTCTATTCTGAATAATCAAAGTGCGCTCGTGGCAGTATTGGAATATTTTCAAAATACTACAGAGAATTCAATATTTACATTTTTTCCCAAAAAAAAAAAAAGCAAATCTCACCGTGATTTATCACGTGACTCTTGACGCCAATGCGTACCAGCTCCTAGACCGCCCAATATATAAGGAGATAGATAGGCCTTATGAACTTAGTAAAACAAGAAATCTGGGGATAGTATTACTACGCCAGGTAACAGTAAGCTCCTTTCATAAGAATATCTCTTATCATACTACCCTTATACCTTAAATCATACGGATTGATAAAAAAATCGACCGTGAAGCTGTCTATTCCTGATCTCTGATTTATTTAAGACTAGGGATTCATAGAGTCATTTGGCCTGATATATTACGCGAAGGGTTCAATACAGAAGTAAACCCTAGATTCAGAGGAGTTGGCAGTGGACCTAGCATTAGTCAGCTGTATTCTCTTAACTAACTATACATGAACGACTACATACATACATTCCGGTACTATTCTCAAGAAAATCTAGTATTTCAGACCTCACCGCTGGATTCCAGAGATTATAGTATAGTAGTAATAACAGAGATACAACAGCTACCATAGGTTGCGTCTGTCATCCTTGCTTTTAACAATTTAGGAATACAATAGGGAATTGTTCATGTTTGATGTAGAAATAACATGATCTATAGAGGTTAATAAGGTTGTGCTGGTGGCGCCGGCGATCGCGAGTGTCGCCAGTTTAGAGGCACCCACACGCCGGGAGGCCACAAGCGAATCCTTGTATCGCATGTTTTTTACGGATTTTCTCGGTTTTTTCTTTTGTTCTCCGCTGTTCATTGCGTGGTGTGAAGCATTCAGCCGCATACCAAGAGTGTCTTGATATGTTGGCCGAAAAAGTGTTGTCATACCCAGCCGCTACTGACAATTGCCCAAGTAGATCGATTATCGCTTTCCCTTATTCAATAACGGTAAAATGCAGCATATTTGAAGCTGGTACCAGAGCATTTGGCCGTCCATTGTTGTCCGGTGGAATTACGATTGTTGTCCTAAACCCAACAACTGACAATTGTGTTAATGTGATCCTCCTTTACTCCCCAATCTTAACAGCTCAGCTTGCATCCCTCGAACTGGTATCGGAGGACCTCGCCGGTCTGAGCATCCTCCGGCAGATCAAATTCAATTTCGCGCTCCTCAACATGTATCCAGGTCTCGTGGGGTTCAAGAGTAACAAACATATCGCTCGTACCTACCGTGCACGGGGAATCTTGATCTTCAAACTGGTGGCATCCGACAGTTCTATAACTGCGCCAGGGCCCCCATGTCCCCGTATATGAACTGCGCCGATAGACACAGAACACCCCCCAATTCGAGAAATCGCTGTTCGAGAAGGTGATCGGCTGAGAGGTACTATCGTCTCCTTCCACTCCATGATATGTGAGCTTCCAGGTCAAGGGCCAGCTCTCATCAACCCTCCATGTTACCGGCACATCTAGCTGAAGACGGAAAATAGGCGTGCCTTGGGGGCTTTGCTGTTGTGAGTAATTCCAACTGCATTTCCAGACCAGAAAAAACCCAAACACTACCACTACTTTGTTTGAAGACCGGGGGACTTCGTGACATTGGAGTCGACAGCGGCACATCACCTTCCACCAATGTGAGGCCTTCGTACTGTCGGTTCTCATTGTAAACTTTTGGGCAGGACTTCATGTGGTCATCCATCCTTATTCTTTTCTTTTCCTCTGTGGTAAAGTCTAATAATGGTGAAGTAAGTAGAACTTCCAGAGTTACAAATCATTTGACCTCAAAAGCTTAACTCGATGAGCAGCAAGTGTGTGGTGATACATCGGCATCTAATAGTAACCACAATATTCTTGGGGAGGGGGTGCAATTTCACACTCACATTGCCTCCACTGGCCACATTTTCCTCTTTCGGATAGTCCCCCAAGTTTGCCCCGATACACGATATAGCAAAGAGCAAGTGTGGAGACGCTAACCCCAACCTAAGCCACTGTACGGCTCTGATAAAACATAGCACATGGTTAGTGCGCGCTCCAAGGACAGCTTGTGAGGCAAAGACACTGTCTTGTCCAAAGCGCCGGTGTTAGTAATCCCTGCAACAAGCCACTAAGACCATGCCACATCATCTTGCATTGACCCGACCGGGAGAGAAAACGTGCGACTTGAGTTAGGGATGAAGTTGTCATCCAGACTTATTGTATCGGATTAGCCTTCGCTGAACTCAAGATAACACAGTTAGAACACCATGATGACGAGGAAATTTCACCTGTCTGCCGATGATGCCAAGGTTAATGTTATCAAAGCCAATATCGACAAGTGCTGCCCCCTATGTGACCGTTCGATTTCTTTCAGGTCCTCCCACGAAAGATTGGTGAGGTCAAAGGCTCAGATCCAATTATATCAAAAACTATGCTTTCATGATGCATGCGAAAAATGTACTTCCATGCCACATGGTCCTCTCTGTGAGGTATGCAGACACATGAGGCTCAGTCATGTTGTGTGTTGCGGAATGTGTGGATGCGACACAGATAGGCCAGAGAGCGGGACTGGCTGTAGGGCAGATAGCTGCGAGAATTTGCACCACATAAGTCACGTTCGACTGCCTTTCGGATCATACGATCAATTACAACAGCGATCAAGGTATTGCGAGATTTGCAGTGTATTCGCACCAGATGTAGAGAGGTTGAAAAGTGTGTATGACTTCGATCGCGATGATAAGATCTATTTGAATGTCGCGAATAAATGCAGTCTTCTTGAAAAGGTGAAATCTGGGTTCTCCATTACACTGCGCGTTGGTTCACTCAAAACCGGCCCCCCAGGTAATTAAGCCCTACTTTAACTTATGACAAAAGCACTTGGCTAATCAGTCTTCCAGATATACTTTATCATGGTACTGCGGATGAACGGCAATGGAACAATATGATTTCATTGGACATTCCAGCCAAGAACATCAACTGGGAAAGAGTATCTCACTGGCTGCCGGATTGCGATATCAATGATTCTGCTGACCATAGAGATTCCTGTCACTTGGAACCCCCCAAATATATCTTACCCAGTTTCCGTGTTATCGACACCGAGCAGCAGTGCATCATTATCGCTCCACCATTTTGCAGATACGCCACACTGAGCTACGTTTGGGGGGAGACAAAAGGCTCAGTTCAAGCTCTTGTTTCCAATATCAAAAACCTTGAAGTTCCAGGGTCTTTAACAAGGACTGGAGTCTCACTATCACCTGTCATTCGCGACGCTATCACGGCATGCCGTCATCTGAGAATCCGATATCTCTGGGTTGACCAACTTTGCATTCTGCAAGATGAGGACATGGAAAAGAAGGCATTACATTTGAATGCAATGGGGGACATATATGGCTATTCATACGTTACTCTGGTCGACCTGGTCGGCACCAATGCGGACCACGGACTATATGGGGTGAATGCCAGACAGCGGATCCGGCGATGGAGCGCTAAAGTACAAGGTCTCTATTTTCTGGGGAGAAGTGACCCTTTCGAAGCATTAGTTGCTGAGTCAAAATGGATGACTCGAGGCTGGACATTTCAGGAAACACTGCTATCATCCCGACTACTATTGTTCTCAGACACCAAACTCATTTACGAGTGCTCTGGCAGGGATTGCGTAGTTGATGATGAATGTGGGCGCGCCTGGCCTCGCAAAAGAGTGAAAATCGCCTTGGGCTCTTACCAAGATATTGTTCATGACTACACCAAACGGACCTTCAGCTTCGAATCTGATATTTTACGAGGGTTTGCGGGTATCCTACATGCGGGCTATGGTTCCGACCATTACTTCGGACTACCATTCGGCGAGTTTACTAAATCATTAAGTTGGTATACTGAGAATGGTGAATATCCACGCAGGGTTACAGAAACCCGAAATGAGGTATTTCCATCTTGGTCCTGGTCGTCAACAACAAGTAGCGTCACGTTCTTCAAGAGTAGTCAAATAACGCGCACTGTCACTGTGGCCATCTTCGCAATTCCATCGCATCAAGATGAAAACCAGGCTTTCAAGGTCATCACGGACACTTCGGGGTTTGTGCGTGGAAGGGAACTCGACATATCGTATCCATTTTATATCTCGTGGGCGCTCCTACTAATTCAGGCTTGGAGACAAGGCTGCTTTCCCGAGAAGATCCCGAAAAAGCTGGACGACTCCCAGATGACTTGGGTGGATTGCGAACGTATTATCCCAGATATATGGACATTCCCCAAGGACATCAGCCATGTCGCGCGGGGACTCGATCCACAAACCTCCACCGTCCGCGATTTCCATTCGAAATTTCCCGCTCCCCTCCAGACCAAATGTGAGCCTGGTTGTATAATGGTGTACACACAGTCACTACGACTCAGAATCGTACCAGCTACAGAAGGGTATGATGAATCCAATCTTCAGGATCAGCAAGGGCGAATTATCGCGTGGCTACTACCACAGACCGCAGACTGGAGCTCGATCAAGATTACGCCTTCTGATGGTAGAACCAGCCGATTTGACGTGATAGCTCTGTCATTTGAAGCTGACTTAGACGGACTGGAACATCGCAATACGTACAAAAGCTGGAAAGCATATAGTGGGCACGGAGACTTAACATGGTATGATTCTTCAGGAAAAGCTCTTCCGTCTGTCAAAAAGCCAAGGATGCTTTTGATGGTGCTGAAAACTGAAAAAGGGCTTAGCAAACGTGTGGCACTTGCCGAAAGTTGGCTTAGAGTTTGGATCCATGCAAAGCCAGAGTTCAAAACATTCATTCTTGTATAGAAAGATCTGTATGAGAAAAATAGACTAGCAAACCACAATGAAGCTAGACTCCTTGAATATGATAGGATCGAACAGCAAAACTGGATGGTATTGATATTTGCCGAGACACCCTCACCTCCAGCCTACAGCATTCCAGATATGTTGAAACGTGTAGGACTATATTAGGTTCTTAGTATGTCCGTTGACTAATCTAGGGAGCTTGGGACTTATCTCACAAGCTCTGATCAGGATACTGGGCAAAGCCGGGTTTTGATCCGTTTGTATCACTGTCTGCAATGCGCAAGGACAAGCGTTGGCCCAGGCATCAGACATGAGGCTGTGGCACTGATTGATGGTGGAATGCCACATTTAGCGTCGGCCATGAATCAGCCCAGTCCAGACACGCTCATGAGGGGTCAAGTAAGCACTAGTAAGCACCTTGTAAGACCCGGTATCAACCTTGTCCAATTCCAGACCGTTGCTTTTCTTTGTTCGCTTTGTTTCTGATGTTTTTGATTGCTCCACTGCGTCTCCCCTTACCCCACACCGGAAATGGGCAGAGTCCCATGGCCAGTGGTACCATCGCATAGCCTTGTAGGGGGGTAAATTGCCTGCCGTAGGGACAAGGATTTATGACCACCTCAAGCAGGCAGTAGACAAGGCTGTGCGTATAATGAGCCAATGGGAGGTGATGATTGTAAGCAGAGTATATTTCCATCATCTTAGCTATTCAGGCTTCTTCCTTCCTGTCTCCCGTACGTTTTCTCATTCGCATCACCGCTCTTCCCACCCACCACTCGCTTCTCATGTTTGACAAACCCTCCCAACCCAACTCCGTTTTAACCCCAAGATAGCAGTCAGTAACTTGGCCGATTTTTCCCGCAAAACCTCTATGCTCTATCCAATAATTAACATCCCATCACGATGATTTCCGAAGCGCTGGGCTTGCTCGCACTCGCCTACCTGGTGTGGAGCTTGGTGACACTGGAGATCAACTACCGTCGTGCTTCAAGCATGGGAATCCCCTTGGTGCGCCTTTACATCGATCCCCTGAATGTTCTCTGGATGGTTTTCGAACCAATCCTCTGGCCTTGGCTGTACAAACTTCCCATCAATTGGCGTAATTACAGCTTCGGTCGCTACTCCCGCCGGGGCTGGTACTTTGCCGATCGCGGCGAGTCCCATCAACGCTATGGGCCCATGTGGGCTCTGGTCACTCCTCGCGATATCTACATTAACGTCGCCGATCCGGATGCAATCCATGACATCTTCCAACGGCGTACAGACTTCATTCGACCAAGTCAATTGTACAGTACGTCCGGATTACTCTGTCATGATTGCGACATTGTGTACGAATTGCTAACCCGGGTTTTGTCTTTAGAGGTACTCGAAGTGTACGGACCATGCATCTCAACAGCTAGCTGGAATGACTGGCCGCGGCACCGAAAGGTCCTAGCAACACCATTTAACGAAAGCGCCATGTCCTTTGTCTGGGAGGAAAGTGTAGAACAGACACGCCAGATGCTGCAGGTCTGGGACTCTTCTGTCGATGGCCACATTCCCAGTGTTGCAAAAGACCCGCGGACCCTCTCGTTAAATGTCCTTGCCGCAACAGGATTTCGCAAATCGTTCCCTTTTCAAAGTGCCAAAGATCATGAGGTGAAGTCTGAATCACCTGCCGCCTCGGAAGGTGAATCAGAGGGCTACCGCGATGCACTCCAGACCGTGCTGGATAACTGCATCCTTCTCATGGTGATGCCTCGGAAATTACTCACTCTGCCATTCGCACCCGAGTCATGGCATCATCTTGGCAAAGCGGCCACCACTTTCAAGAAGTATATGGTCCAAATGCTGGACGAAGAAACGAAAGCATTGAACACCGGAAGTGCAGGTAGCGGAGGCTTGATGACTTCATTTGTGCGCGCCATGGATCTGAAGCAAAAGGTAGACGGGGAGCAAAAAGCAAATACAAGTGGCTCACCTCCCAAAGGACTTACGGTAGACGAGATTTTTGGAAACATCTTTGTCATCAACTTTGCGGGTCATGATACAACTGCCAACACGTTGAGCTTTGGCTTGCTGTTGCTTGCCGCGTATCCGGAAATCCAAGACTGGGTGGCTGAGGAGCTGGAAGGGCTTGATGAAGACAATATCAAGGAGCACTATAATGAATTGTTTCCACGGCTCCTTCGCTGTCGCGCTGTCTTGGTATACCCCTCTTTCTCTTTTCCCATACTACCTACCAATAATTCCATGCTATTTTCTGTCATTTTAATTCCTCGTCGCTAACGGTTGACCCCCGTGCCACAGCTCGAGACCCTCCGCCTCTTTCCACCAATTGTATCTCTGCCCAAATGGACCAACGATGACCCCCAGCTACTTAAGCTGGGCGACAGAGAAATCACGATCCCTCCCCACGTGGGAGTCCACCCCAGCCTCCTCGACATGCACATCCATCCCCAGTATTGGGAGGACCCCTTGACATGGAAGCCGTCCCGCTGGATAACCAAATCAGTTGCGTCTAGCGATGTCTCAGAGGAGATCATCACCCCATCCCGGTCGACCTATTTCCCATGGTCAGACGGGCCTCAAAACTGCCCGGGGAACAAGTTTTCGCAGGTTGAGTTCGTGGCTGTCATGGCGGCCCTCCTCCGGAGTCATCGGGTGCACCCAGTAGCCAACCCCGGAGAAAGCCCCAAGGAGACACGCGGGAGAGTCTTGGCGACCACGCAGGACGTGGATTTGCAATTGCTTTTGCGGATGACGGATGCCGACCAGGTTCGTTTGATGTGTCGTCGGGTAGCCTGAGGTTTGCCTAGTATAGAAGTAAAACACATTTTGACTCCCCCAAGTTTCGGTTTGGGAACACAAGCCAGTGACCAAGGTGCCATTCCGTATCTACCGGCGTTGCTAGCTGTGCTGTGCCATGGTGCAGCGCGAATCGAAGCAGCCAGGGGAATCACTGCGGTTCGGGTTCTAGTATCAGGTTTTGGTGCGTTCGTTGCCACTGAGACCAATTCTTGACAATTGCGGCCTCCATTCCATGGGAGACCTGGGGATTACAGCTTCAAGACCTTTGACATAATGAGGGGGTAAAAAAGAGAAAAACATACAACAGAAGGGATTCGCTGGTGGTCACCCACCCAACTACTAACCTCCCGGCGTGTGGCTTGAGTACGGCTGAGCGGACGGGAAGCCCTATTTTCCACACCCTATGGTCGTATGTGCTTGGTTCCATTCGCTATAGACACATAACCTCCCTTGGGAGTGATCGGGTCGTTAATTCAGACCTCTGCTTTGATGTCCAGTTTTGGTTCATATGAATGTACAGTACAGACAGGCATATTAGCACGTAAAATGATATAGACTAGCAAACACCAGTGTTTATTGGGGCCAAAGAAATGGTTTGAGATAGAGCCCGAATAACCGTCCACGGGTAGTTCAAACTATTCAAAAACTGATCTGGGATATTAAACGGCCGAATAATATCTCTGGGCAAGATGGCCGAGTTGGTCCAAGGCGTCAGGTTAAGGTCCACCTTAATAACCCAGCTTCCACTAGCTTCCTGATCATCGTAAGATGGCGTGGGTTCGAATCCCACTCTTGTCATGCTTTTTGGCGGTGGTGCAATAATGGAAGGGTTCCACTGGCGGAGCGGCATCGAATTGAGGATAATTCCTGGAATTCCTTTTTCTTTTTCTAAATTATTGCGACACAAGTAACATTTAAATTAGTCATTGCGATTCAATACCAGGCGTGGGTGTAGCATCAACAAAATTCTCCTCTTATGCAGATGCGGCTATTTCATCCTCAACATATTTGGCGATCATGTACGTCATAGGGCTATCAGCATTCTGAAAAATCCAGAGACCAGGTGTAATTGAAGGTAGCCCTAAAGCCTTGCATAGTAAGCGCCCGTAGGCGCTGATACATGTTGTGCTTCCATCTGAGTTTCTGTAATCGAATCTCATGACAGCGAAAGGATTCTTCCTCCCGTATCGATTCGCCTTTCACACCCTGAAAATATGTAAAAGCTCGTGCAGCCAGACTGGGGCTTGAGTATCGTAGTATGTATCCATATTCGCGTCTATATTGGGATCGACTCCCTTCTGTTCGTGTATCGTATTACCTTATCCACCGTCTGTAGACTGAAGTACTCTTTGCAGAAATTCAAATACCCCACGTCACATTTGATGTCCCTTTGGCCTGCTACGCATGAATTTGTGATGGACAGTTCGATTCTGGGTCATCACAGCGGACGGACAGTCTCCCGTCTAGCCAATATGGGAGCCAGCCGGGCTGTATGATGGCAAGATTCATGAATATCTCCTTGTAGGCTACCTGATTAAAGAGCTAGAATCTGTCGAACCGAAAGCTGGGCACAACACAAAACAAAAGCATCCCCCAAAACTAGTTTCAGATGCTACTTTGAAACAGCTTCCCCTTCTCAACGGTTCAAAACCTCAGGTAAGCTGGCTGACTTAGGAGCTATTTAGAGATCATGCATTTAACTAGTTGGCACCGCTGTATGTACTTATCACTGTTTGGAGTTGAGAGAATCTATGATTATTTCCTCGACAGCCTTGCTCTCCGGCACCACCGTCCAGCCTATTAACGAAACAAAACTTTTTGATTATATAACGTCTGATGTTCCCATTACAGAACAGATACAATGCCTGACAAATGTAGCACAATTGGGACGACCCGACAGACTTTTATTCGGAAGGAAGTCTCACAGAAAAGCGCAGACATACACATTGACGTGTATCAAGTCACCAGTGAATCCACTCCACAATTCCAGCCAATTCATGATACTGCAACATGTTACCTAATCCCACCCATCCTCTCCTCCGTTCACCAAATCATGGCCCGATTTCGCAGGTAGGCTTCTCACTCCAGACCGTCTTGGCATACACCTGCAAGAAATCCCTCGTGGTAAACGACTCATCCATGTAGGGCTTGACAACCGGGTCTTTGTCTGTGAGACCGAGGAACTCAATAATCTTTTTTTGTATGTCACTTGTAAAGACCACGTCCACTGTCTTCGTCTCGTTCTCATTAATGTTGCCCTTGACTTGCATATAGTACGGATGCGGTTCATTTTCCAGGCGTGGGATGTGCAGGGTGTCATCACCGCAGTCCTCTGAGCTGGCAGAACAATCACCAAAATCATCTTTTGTAACATGTCCAGGGTTGAGGTTGTCCGAGTCACTTGCACGACTGTTAAGCACGCTTTGTTGAGAAGCGCTCGCGTATCGACTGGTAGAAAACCTGACGCTGTTACTGCCGCAGTCTTCCTTCGGCTCCTCATAATCTGGATCAGTTCCCTTGTACTCGTTCAGTTTCTTTTGAAGTTGCTTTGTTACGTCATCATAGGGAACATCTGCAATATAGTAAAAAATGTCCGCGTACGAGCTAACAGTGAATGCGTCCCCAACAGTGAATGGACCCTGGTATAAATCGTAACGTATACCGTAGGTGTTGAAGATGATCAGTCTGGCAGAATCGGAATTGTTCCCATGCACTGTTTCATTTAAAGCGGATCTCACCAACGTATAGATGTTATCCGGGCAGTTGTAGGGGCTCGACGCGATATAGTATGATTGAGGAGCGCAGCCGAGCTCTTCAGTTAGGTTCATACCGTCTCGATCACCCTTGATATCATCTGTGACACTCAATCCAAAAGGTGTATCGAAGCTGCTAGGGACTTCGGGGCCAGTTGCTCCTAAAGCATGATATGCGAACGTCTGACGGTTGAAATCGAGGTAACGACGGTCAAGGCGAACAGTTTTCTCCGTGCGTGAAGACAGAGCCGAACTGTGCGGTGTGCATGTCTTTGTGGGAATAGGAACATCTGTTATGGTTTTAGATCCGTTCCAGGTGTTAGATGGCGCCACATCGCTGAGAGCAAGCCATCCCACGGTGTCAGAGTATCGGCCTGACTCAAGGCCAGATGATCCACTGTCATAGCATGTAAAGTTTCGGACGTGCGAATGGCCACCCAATATTTGAAGGGGAATCTCAGGTTTGTTCTCCCGGAACCAGTCCTTCATGCAGATCAACGGGTTCTGGTCTCCCTGATATTGGGGTTTGATCTTGCAGCCCTGGCCAATATCGGCATGTCCAATAAGCAAATAGAGATCGACTGGTTGGCTGATCGCATCTTTGAACCACTCCTCTTCTACTATATCTTCATACCCCTGGACATGGACGGTGGCAGGGGCCTTGAAATCCTGAAGAGTGAACCCGAATGCCATGATTCGCAACCCGTGCTTCGTAGTGAGATATCGGGATCTCTGTCCGAGGGACACATTCTTTCCATCAATCTCCACGTCGACGTTGCTAGTTAGATACCGATCACCATAGTATTCCGCTATATCTTCTCTTATCTCATCAGTGACTTCTGCGTGATAGAGGTCGTTGTTACCAATGGTAAGTAGGTCATAGTCCATCTTGCGGAACAGCTTATTGGATACCTGACCGTTGGGTTCAGTCACATCACTGAGGCCATTCCCAGTGACAATATCGCCTTGAGAGTCCCGGTTAGCAGATCAGAGTTCAGAATGTATGGAAAACAAGCATAAATGGAAATACCGGTGTCCACAACGAGAAGATCAACATTTTGTTGATCAGCTTTATCACGCATGTGCGTCACAAAAGAAATAAAATCACCCCAATCAGCACCGTAATTGACCTCATTCTCATGCCCCTCTAGCCATCCATGTGTATCAGTTGTATGAATAAAATTTATCTCGCCCCAAGGAAGAGGTCTAGTGGGCCAGTGTGTCGTGTTGTGTGAATCGGGTTGCATCCGAGGAGCTATCTTCGGGGATTTTGACCGGTCGGATTCTCTACCCTGCGCAAAGACAACTGGAAGGGCAAGTGCTGCCGTCCACGCAAGAGCTGAGAAGGTCATTATGGGCTGTTCAGGATGCTCAGGAGGCTTCGGGAACTGCGAGGGCTCGCTGGAGTGACCGGGTGCAGCGTGGCTCAACACAAGTGAAGCCAATTGACTAATTTCGCTGCAGGATTCTTCTACCAGCGGATGCTTTATTCTCACTTTCATGCTGCAATCCTACGCTTTTTAGTTTCGTTAGGACGGTAACCATTGCTGGGAGGTGCCAAATGGACGTGTCATAGCCGGCATTTGATGTTACACTCGATACAGCATTTCATTGGCACGACCAGCAACCAATCGGTTGCATTGGGAAGTCAAGAACGTTTTCGTCCATACTGCTACTAACGCTATAGTTCCACTCTGTGAACTGTCATAACTTAATTATATCAGACTTCTTCAGAACCCATGGGCCGCCGTAGATGATTCCGATGTTCCAACAGCGATCTATGCTTAATCCGGTTTCCATCTCATAGCCTTGAAGCAGATTACGGACGTCTAAATGGTCAATATTCTGTCCAAAGCCCACAAGCTTCCGTGAATGCTCCACCTGAGCGTGGCAAGCCTAGCTCCCGCGGAGTTTATTTCTTGACTTGAGTTCTGAGCGGTTCACCTCCACAATGCCAGGCCGAATCTAGCATCACATTCGGCTCGGGATGTAGAGCGAAACCGAAGGCCATTTGGCATACCTAAATCTCTTTCAAACCGAGAAGCAAAGCACAAATAGACGTGACGAGATTCTATTGGATAACCCAACCTAGTTGCCATTGACGACAAATCCTTATATGATGTATTTTCTAATTGCGATCGGAGAAATCTGAAAAAGAAGAACCAAGCTGTATTCTAAAAAAAAAAAAGCCTAGTTTCAAGTAACTTGACGTAAATTGATCCGGGTAGCTGTCAAGAACTACATCCCTTCGTCGCAGTAACCGTAATATATATTTGTACCCAATACATCAACTCGAGTCAATTCTATCCTTTCACCCCTGATATCTAATCGACACCTACTCACCCCTTTATATGTACATTCATCTAGATGAAAAAAAGTAAAAGAATCTACAGGCGGCATCAACTTGCATCAATGAACAGAGGTGATGCAGCAATCCAGCACCGATATATAGCGCGAATACCCGATGGTCATTATTGAGTAAGCGGCCAGTGTAATCACTCGGAAAAGAAGATGAAGATGAGGGAAAAGCCATGGGGAAGAAAGTATCAGAGCGAAAAGTAAGCTACCAAATCTATAGACTCATTCCAGCGTTTTAAATCCGTAACAGGACACATATTCAAAGACCTCTACGCCGAAACATCGGCAAGGCAGCCAAATTTGAACCGTCTCCCATGAGTTTTTGCAATTGTCCGCAGGGAAAAGGTTCCGAGACACTGGCTTCCGCAAAATACTAGTGCGAGAGGCTTGAGCAAATAAAGAAAATATCAGAAAGCCACTTGCGTACCCTATGGGTAGGGCCAGCGGCATATGGCAGCCAGGATATCTGCACCCGAACGAGGGTCAACCTATCCATCTAGTCACCAGGTATCCCGGTCGCGCTGAATACTCAAGATTAGTAGTAATGGGAAAAGCAATCATACTAGGCCCGGTCTCATTCCGGACAATGTCCCTACATATTAGAGGAGATAGTAGATTTGAAGTTCAAAATCCCCACTTATCGCATGCACTGGCTAGATGCGGATAGGTCTTGGCCATCGGCGATTCACAATACCCAGGAAGTTAAAGCGAAGACAGACGGATGCTATGTATTTCTATGATCAAGGCCCCTCTGAGCACTGCCTCACCCAATCCGCAATCTTCGGTCCAACATTGTCTCCTGGCAAGCCGATAGACAATGCATAGCTAACATGATTATGACTAGGCAATACCTCAAACCGAGGAAGACGACAGCGACGCTCAGCATACAGCCTTGCAAATTCCAAGGTTCCTTGTACGCACTCCTCGAAATCCCACTCCGCCAGCATCAAAAACAGCTCGGGTGTCGGCACGGAAGCCACATCCGCATCTTCAACGGGCGGCAAATCCCTCAAAATACCGTACGCTGATCGGGATTGAATAAGACTATGGTCCGTCGTTCCATAATACTGCTCCATGCTCTCGCGTCGACCCTTCTTTGATAGGTCGTACTTCAACGCCGCGCTGAGAAGCAGGACGCCGCGCACTAGACTCTGTCCTTGGTCCGACTTTAGCTTTCCCGAGAAAAGCGCCATGGCGAGGTGGCCTCCACCTGCACTTTGGCCAAGCGCGAAAATGGCATTTCGGTTGCCTCTGTACTGATGCACGTTGTCATGCAGCCACGAGAGAGCAGAGGCGACATCGTCCTGTCCGTCCGGGAATCGAGCTTCTGGCAGTAGCCGGTAAGTCCCCAAGACGCCGATCATACCCTGAGATGCGAAAAATCGACCGATATTTGCGTGCATGTGCGGAGTGATAGAATTATCGCCCAGCTTGAATGCACCACCATGAAAGTAGACGACAACAGGCAGAGCCGCGTTGTTTGAGGTAGCATCTGCTGGCCAGAAAACATCCAAGCGATGCCTTGGATCTGGGCCGTACTTCACATTCTTCTCATACTTGATTGGATGATCTGGATCCAGAGGGCCAACGGATAAATGCTGGGCTTCAAAAAAGTCCTGACAAGCAGTGTTCACTGACCCGTCCCACCGGTTTTTGAAGCCGAGGATGAATTGTTGAATTTCGGGCGCTAAAGGCATACCGTTCCCAATGTGTGGTGTAGAGTGGATACTGTTTCCTTTTAGGCAACTCAAAATAGCTAGCTAGCCCTTCACAAACAAGCGAAATATAAAGAAATTGGATAAGAATTTGTAAAGAAAGACAGACGGTGGGGTCGAGGATGGTGTTGGTAGTGACAGCCTTAACAAAGACAGACAGATGAAGTGGAATGGGGTGAACTGAGGTGGGGTTGGGGAATGCTCAACCCCGCATCCAGTGAAACAAGCAGCAAAGGAGCCAATGAATACTAGTAGTGCATAATATCGAAGGTATCATTGAGTGCACATTCACTACGTAATTAAATCACTGTGGGCAATGTTCACGGAGCTTGCCTGCACTAGATAGGGAAGGTTCTGAAAAGATCAGTTAATCCGATACGCCCTGGTTCGTATATAAGGGCATCATCTTCGCACTGTCTTGTTAGAAAGATCCCAAACACCATCAAATCAGTCTTTCCTTCCTACATTATCCAGGTACTATAAGCCATAGCACTCCATACCAAAGACACTCTTTTTATTCCAAGCACCGTTGCGCTACCCATCTCTCATCCTTGACTTTTTCATGAGAAGCATAAATGCGACAAGACCAGAATGTCAAGCAAGTTACGCCAAAAATGGCATACATTCCTTAACCTCCCCCGCCAATCCAACATTACCTGGCACAAAAGTCGTCTCATCGAAGAGCTTTCCGAGCGGAGCAAGGCAACTACACCCCTGGCCCGACTAAGCGAGACCTCGGACATCCTATTCACAATATCTCGCGCCGAACATGATGGATTTCCTATCCCTTTTCGCCCTGCTTGGTCGCGGACGTATAACGCATTAGCCAGTACCTATATGCTGGGCAAGTTCACATCGCGATGGTATTTCTATCGCGTGGCTGCGTATTTCGCTGGAAAGCGCGATTGGAGCAATGTTAGGGAGGTGGTGAATCCGAGGAAGGGGACGAAATTGGATGAAGTTGCAGACAGACATGGCATAGATAAGGCGAAATTCGGTAGAGTTGGAAGATTATTATTATGGGCATTGCCAGTTCTTCCCTGATGTATGTATGTGTCGGGGTTGGATAGTGTGGTGAGTGTTATACTACTCCTGTGATCAAGCTATTGTGATCCATACTGACTGGGGTTTCTAGCTGCTTGAAGATTCAATATTTGGCCCAGAAAGTTGACGCGAAATAGAAATGACAAAGATTAATTGTCAGGGCTGACTTCTTGTATCCTTGCCATGCGATGGTAGTCTTTGTTTTACTTGTTCCTTGTGGTGTGACCTCCAGACGAATTGCAAGTATATCTGGATATATTAAAACGCCCAACTTTGAGCTCGGAAAAGGCTTTTGGACCTCATGTGTGTCCCTCTATATACATAACAACAGCATAAGAGCATTATGGTTGTTCGTCTCTTGAGATGCGGCCTTCAGACGCATTCCACATATATCAGGACACTATATAAAGGTGCTCCATATTATGCAGGGAAAAGGGTTCCGGGCCCAATATGTGGTGCTCTGTATACAGAACATTAGCATAAGAGCACTATCTCTGCTAAAAAGCACCTATAGAAGTCAATTGAGTTGACTATGGGAGGTACCGTATTGAAAACACTGATGACTCCATTCACAGTTCAATCATGACAACAATGCAACAGTCAACTGTAGCTTCGTGGAATGACCCGGAGCCCCTATATTCAACGAGCCAGACATTTCCAGCGCCGAGACTGTTAATGAAAAGGATTTGTCGTTGAGTGAACCTAGGCACCGATGATACCCTTGCCTATAAAATCCCCCAGCACCCCAAATTTAGTTTTGTCCTTCTACTGGTACCTCTCACGACCTGAGGCGTGAAATCTCATTTTCACACGTTATTGGCACACCATACAATTCTTCTTATTTATAGCCCTTTATCCAGATCCGACCATACCCCCCTTCGTCTCTACTTCCCTTCAGCTTTAGACTGTTTACATCATATCTCATTCGACAATGCAGATGCCCACCTCGCCAGAAGACCAGAAGTGCCCTACCGTGGCACCCATGTGTCCCCCGGTGGCCGCCCCCAAGGTCATCGGACTCTACGGGGTGCCGGGGGCTGGCAAGACTTTTCTAATGAACATACTGAACCAGCAGCTTGGTGAGGAGCGTTTTGCCTTTTTTGAAGGATCCGAGGTCATTGCCTCTGTAATTACCGGCGGGCTGGATGCATTTAAAAAGCTCGACGAGTCTGAAAAAGCCGAGTATCGCAAGCGGGCTGTTCAGAAGATCAAGTCAACTTGCAGCGAGACCAGGAAAGTTGGGATCGTTACCGGCCACCTCAGCTTTTGGGACGACGAAAGATGTGACCACCCCATGAAGGTCGTCACTGAGGATGACTTGGATACCTTCACTCATATTTTGTACCTCAATACTCCGGTGCATATGATTACCGAACAACGAAAAAAGGATACCGAGAGACTACGACCAAGTGTGTCGGAGAGTCGTTTGTGCGAGTGGCAAAATTATGAGACAAAAGAGCTCTCTTCTCTTTGCCTGGACAAAAACATTATGTTTGCTCATGTTTGGTCCGGTTTGAGCTGTAAGCTGTCTACCTTCATTCGTGACATTGAATGTCACGACGAGGAATATAATATGGCTGTTGCCAATGATCGTTTGGACAAGATTCTCTCTAACCATAGCGACGACGTTCAGACTGTCCTGTTTCTTGATGCGGACAAGACGCTCTCGGAAGACGACACCGGCAAAACCTTCTGGACGATGTTGGAAGATCTTAAGGGCGTCCCTAATCCGCTAGGACGGCTCTTTAACAAGATGGGGTATTCATATGCCGCGTTCAGACAGGCTATGATGTACTATGAGGATCAGATCTGCGATGATGACTTCTCTTCTATCTGCGAGGATATTGCAAGTAAAATCAAGCTCTATCCCCAGATTTCCCTGCTTCTCAAAAAGGCGGTCGAACACAAACACGTTTGTCCCGTTATCGTCACCAGCGGCCTGCGTCTCGTCTGGGAGAATGTCATTGAGAGAGAAGGGCTCGCTAATGTTGTTAAAGTCATCGGTGGTGGTCGTATCGACGACGGATTGGTGGTTACCCCTGAGGTGAAGAGAAGTTTAGTTGTTCGTGCTCAAACAGTTCATGGAGCCCACACCTGGGCGATCGGGGACAGCCCTATTGACTTGCCGATGATGTTGGCTGCAGACAAGGCGGTTGTCGTGGTGGGTAAAGAACAAACGCGAAGCAAGAGCATGGATGGCGCCTTACGTGATGCTATCCTCAATGATGGGCTGCAGGCTAGGCAAGCCTTGCTGCCCTACAATACTCTGAAACCACGGCTTGACCTGAACATACTCCCTGTGATCCACTTGGAAGACGAAAACAGCCAGAGCTTGATCTTCCGCCGCTGGTTTCGATTCTACCATGCGACCGATGATAACGCTTCTAAGTTGTTAAGTACTCCTATGAGAGACGACGCCATCCGCGGGCCGGCCCTCCAGGATGCTCATAAGAAGGCTGCTCACTACCTGTCCACAAAATACCTGGCACAGATAATCGGACTTGAAGCCTTCCCCGTATGCCACCCTCAAAACAAACCCATTGACGGATACCGGCTTCTCAACGAAGGCCAGACGTTGATCGTGCCGCTGATGCGCGGTGGGCTGCCCATGGCAAACGGTGTCAACGAGGTCTTCCCAACTGCCCAGCTCCTGCACGCCAAGTTGCCTCACGATGTGAAGAGGGAAAATCTTGAGGGTATCGTCACTGTGATCCTGGTTGATTCAGTTATCAACAGTGGCAAGTCCATCGTGGAGTTCTTACAGCATGTTAGGAAAATGAATGATGCTGTCCGTGTCATTGTAGTTGCTGGCGTCGTGCAGGACCAGGCCCTCAAAGGCGGGAGTGCCATTCGTGCTGTCGCGCGATCAATGGAGGTTACCATTGTCGCTCTCCGGGTGTCGAAGAACAAGTACACTGGAAAGGGAACTACCGACACGGGAAATCGCTTGTTCAATACCACCCAGTTGGACTGATGGTGGACCGGTCATACTATTTGGGTGAGATGGACAGTAGGAACTCGGTTTAAATTTTGGGAGGCTAGAACCAGAGTTGGCGATGACGCATTCTGAGAGAAGAGTTTTGACTTTGGAAATAACAATGATTTTGGTATGACTAGTACTTAATTTTCTTTTCGTTTTGTTTTATCGAAGGGCAACTCATTGGTATTTCATCATTGTTACTTTGACTTCCTCTAGAACCTTAACAATAGTCATTGGCACTTGATATGGAGGCCTGTCGGGATTCATCTTTGAATTTCTTCAAGTAGTGTGCTCTCTTAGATGCGGTGCAGCTGGACCACCCATTACGTTCCACCTTAAATCACCGGAAGCGAGTTTAAGTGTCTTTATCACTCTATGCAGCAGATGGGACAAAATATTGTGGGAGCAGATACATTGAGACCGCTACGTTATCCTGGGTACAATTACAGGATATAGTCTATGTGAACAACGTTCTTACATGTAATCATTTACCAGGTCTGAAGTCCATACTCTATCATCTCAGCCCTTTGGTTGTGCGACGATCCATAATTGTAAACTCAGTAATCAAAGTAATGCAGGAGACCCAGTAGCAATGAGTTCCACAATCTCTGCAGAATTAGAGATCCATTGTAGAGGCAAAGGGTCATCCAGGCTATGGCGGTCCATATCCGCTGTCGCTGCGGATTCCCACTCTTCTTTCGTTACAGCATTCCACAACGGCGTATTCCTGGGTGGTGGAAATTGTAAGTCGCATGCACGGATCCTCCCGTCAAAGTTACCCGTTCTATGCTCTTCTTTGCCTGAGTTACCAAAAGCTCCACAGACTTTGAATAAAGCCAGATCGAACCTCTTTACCTCCTCAACACTTACCCATGTATATCCCGGCAGAATACTGTCGCAATAATGCTGCAGTATATTTGGGTAGTAGAACATTCCAAGCTTCTTGCAGCTTATGATAAGTCTTTCCAGTAGTTCGGCATCTGCAGGTGCAAGGGAAGGCTTCAGGTCAAGGTCGAGCTCCCCACCGCCCCTATATAGACCCGCAAATATTATGTGGAGCAATATAGCCTGATATGTCGAGATAGGCCATTTGCAGGTACTACTTGCATCTGCTATCGAGGCATCCCATGCGTCCTGCAGTCTCCCTCATTAGCGAACAGAACTAGGTTCAGGGGAAGTTTGCGTACATACAGTCTGCTGACGTATGGCTGAGCCCAAGACATTATGCAGGTCAATGGCTTTCGATTGGTATTTCCGTTGTTTACTCATCCACAGACCAAGAACAAGCATCGACTTGACAAGCAATGGTGCCTCATGATCTCCGAACGAACCTTTATGAATAAAAGGCCAACGGGGGTGAAATTCGTTGAAATATATGCGTATAAAGTGGCTTTCCTGGTCGGACTCATCTGTCTCAGGTCGGGCGGGTGGGGATTGAAGCATCCTTGGAGGGTCTGGGGGATCAACCGGCGGCGTTTCCGGCCGCCGCTCCAGGGAACAGTGGGTTCCACGGCGCAAGCAATTGTTACATGGCGGTCCTCCTTGGCATCGAGACTTTTGTTTTCGACAATGGGCGCACGCATGTTTGATGTCGGGCATATCATTTACTCCATGTATGTTTTGCATATGGCGCCGGAACGTATCACTAGAGGAATCAGCAACATGCTCCAGATAGATTGTTCAAGAAGGTGAGAGTCCAGTTATACCTCCGCCTAAATTTCTGGGTACAAGCTGGACATTGTCGAAGCTGTTGTTGGGTATGTTGCGCCTCGTGACGACGAAGATGCTCTTTCCGTTGATAGCTTGCCTTACAATGAGGCACTTGGCACCAGTATGTCTTAGGAGGCATGCTGCTACTTCCCCTTGCAGTCTTAGAAAGTATAGGCTCTGTTACAATGGCGGAGCTGAGGGGGGAATGTCTTGTCTCTGCTCTTCTCTCTCGGGCCCTTCCACAATGGTAGGATTAGTCAGTGTGCTCCCAAACTGGTTAGGCCCGTTTCTGTTGAACCATGCCTTCGCCTCCCAAGAACCACACAAAAGTAGTCCCCCCCCCCCCCCAACCCCTGCATCCCTGCTTCTGCTTGTGGTTTTGGCAAATGATTCCTTTCAGCTGGCATATGAGAGGGAGAATTTGAAAACAGAGATTACCCAGATGTTTCTCCTTAAGTTAAATCCCACACCCCCTTTTGAATCAATAGTGAAGACTAGTGAAATTGACTTCCGTCATGCAGTATCTGCAGTCAGATGGGAAAGCGGGCGATTTCATCTGATTCAGTACTAATCACTTGCAACACACCTCTCGTGTTTATCTGACAGTGCAAACAACTTAATACATTTCTGCCAGCCTATTATCTCAATAAATGAACACATAATCCCTATCCTCCGTCAACAGCTTCCTGATAGCATCCCGAGGCGTAGTAGGCTCTCTTCCCAGAATCTCACGCATCAACGGATGTGTTGTGCGCAGGGCGCCGCTTGGAATCTCATCCCATAGTGTTGCAATCATCTGGAAGTACTCCTTCGACTTTCCGCGCTGGTCATGCACCTCACTGGAGCCCAGGTACTCCTCCCGTGAGGTTACCTTTAGCTTGGCCTGCCGACCAGTAGTCTCGTTAATAATGTCCACTATTTCTTTGGCAGTGATTGTTTCCTCTGCAGTGAACATGACGACTTGATTCTCATATCCACCACGTATCATGATTCGCGCGGTAGCTTCACCAAGTTCTGCACGTCGAGTAAATGCTATCTCTCCGTCTCCCGGCAGCGTCACTGTTGTTCTTTCGGGATACCAGTCAAGGAAAAAGGTAAAGCATTCCGCGTATATGCCTTCTCGGATTGAGGTAAATGTAAGACCCGACCTGATATAGTCAGCCTAAATTGGGCCCGGCAAAAGATGTGTACAGAGGTAGGAGATGCAACGTACTCTTTAAGCAGTCTTTCAGTGAAAAGATGGTCCTGCTGTACTGGAGTCTTGGAGTCGTCTGAGAACCCACCAAAGACAAGGGAGGTATACCACACCTAAGATTCATTAATGCCTTGATTTCGCAACATTCTCAGATTTATTTCTGGACTACCTACATGCTTCACTCCAGCTGTCTTAGCGGCAGTTATGACCCTGGCATGCTGCTCGCTTCTGCTCGCACCACTAGTACTGATAATCAGCAAGTTCTCGACGTCACGTAATCCGGTTTCGAGTGATTGATGGTCATCGTAGTCAACATGACGGAAAGCGATTCCGCGATGTTCAAATAGCTCTTTGTTATTGGGGTTGGATGAGGCAGCGGCAAAGTCACAGGAAGGGATATTTTCGACGAAGTAGTTCAAGACGTGCTGCCCTAGGCCGCCAGTGGCACCAGTGATGAGATACTTCAGGGTCATTGTGTTATGCGAAGGTGCGACGAGACAGTATATGTTCAGTAACCGAAGATTCAATAATTACTTGTGTATTTTCCAGGTTTGACTGGTTCATTTATTATTTTCTCCTCTATTGGTAGCTCCAGGACACCATCTTTCCACCAGCTTGGATTTATAATCGAATTGAATTATTAATGTCGATTACAAGGATTGATGTCCACCTATATTTGGAGAAGCGACAGGCCAAGCCGCTTTCGGCTACTAGCGGGCAGCCTTGTATACTAGTAGATATTGTCAGCCACTGATGATTTAGGTGAAACATAGGAGGCATGGTCATAGTCATGATTGAGTGAATTTCATCCAGCCCGATGCCCTTGCCACAATGCCCTTGATATCAACTCTTTTTGGGGATCAGCCACTCGAGAATAAATTATGATGACATATAGTACCAGCGGAGACTGGAAGATGTGCCATACTAAGGACGCTTCGGACTCTGTCCGAAGTAATGGTTGAATCCGATTCAATATGCACGGGTGGGAGCTCCGACATCTCGGCCCTCCCACCTCCGGAGCCTCCACCCAATCCAAAGATGATCGCCAACGGATGCTCACAAATGAAGTTCGCAATTTCAAATCTAATTTGAAAACAATTGCCTATTGTGCAATATCTTCTGAGTATAAAGACCCTGAAGATGGAACTCGTATCTATTTTTTCAACAATCTCATCAATTTACACAACCCTCACTTAACTACCATCATGGCTCCAACTATCCTCATTGTCGGCGCAACAGGCAATACCGGCCGAGCCGTGACAGAAACTCTCCCAACCCTTCTGAAAGCCAACGAGGCTTTCGAGAGCCATCGAGTACTCGCCCTGACCAGATCTCTCAACAGCTCCTCGGCCCAACGGCTTGCAAAAATCCCCGGTGTCGAACTCATCGAGCAGAACTGGACCGAGATTACCTTGGACTGGCTCCGAGAAAATGAAGTTGTCAGGGCCTTCATCGCCTCTCACAACGCACCAAACCAGTTTGCCGAAGAGTCTGCCTTTCATGTCGCCGCCCTTGGAGCTGGTGTCGAATACGTTGTGCGAATTTCCACCACCGCACCCAATGTTCGTCCGGATTACGGTGCTTACTATCCGCGCACGCACTGGGCTATTGAGGCGATGCTTGGTTCGGCGGAATTCAGCGCCCTGAAGTGGACTTCTCTTCAGCCAAACGTGTTTACAAGCTTCTATATGGCCGTACTCGCTGAGTACATCAAAAAGTTTAAGCGGAATGGCGAACTAGGCCCTCTGAAGTTGATGGCATCCAAAGATGCCCCTGTTGCGCCTATCGATCCGGATGAAGTCGGTGTGTTTGCTGCGCATCTCTTGGCCTTGGATGATCCGAGCCCACACAGCGGGGCGAAATATGTCTTAAATGGACCGGAAGATATTACTGGCGAACAGCTTGTCGGCTTAGTGGAGCAGCGTATTGGCACAAAGGTGAAGGAAGTGACGTATCAAGATCTTAGCCTTTTGGATGCAATGCTGGGCAGTCAATATGAAGGATCGGGTCAATCCATGACTGTTGTCAAGTCAATAAAGAATGCTGTGTTGACCATGTGGGAAGGAAAGTGCAATGCTTCGACTACCAGCAAGGAGGTTCTGGACATTGCTCCTCCGAGACGGACCCCTACCGATGTGTTGGAGGATTTGCTAAAGGCGTAAGGTCCAAGGGTGACTTATCAACTCCTGAGGCGCTACCATCACAGATGTCATAGATATATTGATTTTATTCAGAACAAATAGCATCGTATTCTGACGTGAACGTCATAAAGACAAACCGGAGTACCATAGATGGACATCTTCCTCCATGCATCCTGACCACGTCACCACACGCTTCGCTCGAACGTAATACAACAAACTCAACAACACCCATTTCCTACTCAACTACAATCATGTCGTTCAGAATACTATCCAAAAAATCCCTCTGCTCCTTTACCCACTTCCTTGTCTCCTCCACATTAAACGGCCGTCCAGTAATTTCCCTCTCCCTCTCCCTCTTGCGCTGTGCCCGCACCCTTTCCTCAAGGACCTCCAGGCGATACTCGAAATACTGGGGATACATCTCCTCCAGATTGCTGATTCCCCGAGTACCAGTGAGCAAAATCTCATCGCGCACCTCTGCGTCCTTAGGCCGGAACGGCGTCACCATCGTGATTCTCTCCCGGCCGCCAAGGGCCTTCAAAGCCTGGTGCTCGAGATACCGACCCTGCATGACAACCGCGTAGCCCTGTGCGGGACCACGGACCTTCTTGATGGTGCCGTTGGGGAGCCTGATAGCTGTTTCGCCGCCTACCATGGAGGTGCAGTCGGAAAGCATGACTACACAGACGAAGGGGAAGGAGTCGTAGTGCCAGGCAAATGCCGGGGTATCGTCATCTCCGGGGGGTTTGGTAGAGGAGTTGCTGGCTTGGGACGAAGGTGGTTCGTCGTCTTTGATGGCAATGTTGATGTTTGCGATTTCGAAGTCGAGGGCCGGGATTAGGTCGATGCCGGCGATAGCGGAGATTTTGGACAGGACTTCAGGAGACTTCCATACGTCGTACGTGAAGGGGGCTCGCCTATTTATGATCATTAGTCTAGTTCGATAGGGCTAGAATGTCCAGAAAGGTGTATGCTTACTTGTGTCCCATGCCCCTAACCATGCTTGCGCAGAAATCGCTTGCATACTGACAATCCTTCAGCACAGGCTCACTGAAGATCTCAGCGCGCATTTGTCTGATTGCTTCGGCCGTGAACAGACGAAAAGGCTCTGAGATAGCGTTGGGAGAGATGCCCGCTTTTTCGAGGCCGAAGTCGGCCATCTTGTGGATCTTCTCCGGGGGTTGAAAGACCAAGTGCTCGCTTGGGTCGAAGGTGCGCTTCTGGGGGATCTTAGCGCCTTCGATAAGGGACTGAGGGAGCTTCTTGGCGGGGCGTGTGGCCTTCTTGGTCTTGGGCCCGGAAACAGGGGGTGGGGTGTAGGTTGAGACGAGGGCTGCTGGGGCCATTGTGTAGGTTGTGGATGGATATGATCCTAATATGTGTAGAGAGAGTTAGACGATGAATGGCAGTGTTGATTCAAGTACGATTGATTGTGTTGAGTTATAGAAATCGTCTCTAACTGCGATGTCGTCTCGATACTTATAGTTCCAAATGAAGCCTTGAAATGCCAAGTCCGGGGTATGTTGAGCGGAGTGCTTAGGACCCGAGCCGTCACGGGAAGCATAACATGCATCTGCTCTAGCGCCAGATAGGAGATAGCATTTCCAGATAACCAATGAACGTACACTTCCTGAACACTATTACCGGAATGTCATTAATGGTGTCGGGAGACAATCATGATTGTATGCTGAAAGACCTGCACGTCTTGCATCCCGATAATGCCGGCTGATCAATCGGAATAGCAAACCGGATTCCAGCTGATTATCCCTTCCAAGATCGGCTCGGATCTAGACTCATGAGCCG